TAGCCAAAGAAAAAGAATGGCATATCATTTGCTGCAACTTGGATGGAACTGGAGACCATTATCATAAGTGAAACATCTCAGGAATGGAAAACCAAACACCATATGTTCTCACTAATAAATGAGAGATAATAGATGGGTACACATGGGCACAAAGTGATATAGGGGACATGAGAAACCAAGAAGAGGGGAGGGCAGGAGAGCGGGTGTGGGATAAAACCTTACCTGTTGGGTACAATGAGCACTATTCTGGTGACTGACACACCAAAAGCCCTGACTTAAGCATTTTACAAGATATCCATGTAACGAAATCATTTGTACCCCTTAATTCATATTTGAAATTTAGAAAAGAAAAACAAAAAAAAAGAATGGCATAGTTTCAGAGTCAGACAGACTTTCATTTTAATTTGAGTACTGGAATTTTCTAAATAGCATTAGACGTTAGCAGTCATTTCACTTCTTGGTTTTCCCATTTATTTAATGACAATAAGGCCAAAAAACTCTACCTTACAGCAACGTTTTAAGAATTATAGTTAGCATATGTAAAGAGGCTGGCAGGTCCCAGATACCAATTGGTGTTAAAAACGCCACCAAATTCTTACTCTGAAGATGTGCTAGTGCCTAAGGCTCAGCCAGCTGAGGCATATTGATAAAATGCAGTGGGGAGTGAGACCAAGCTCTGGAAGGGAAAAAAAAAAATAAAGACCTGTCATGTTTTCTGGAAGGTCCTGCAGTTCCAGCCTTATCTTTGAAAAGCAGCTTGCTCAGGGCCATGCAGGCTTCTGTGACTCCCCTTTCACTTAAGCTGTGTACTCCTGTGGGCCCAACTGCCAGACATTAATCAGGCGGGATCTCTCTGGAACCCAGATGCAAATTTCTGTCCCCCACCCTCCTCCTCCACCACCTCCTCCTTCTCTAATTCCTCCTTCTCTTTTGTTCATTATTTTCGTTTTGTATAGTGGCTACCACAGTCATTTTATTAGTAATAAATTTAGGGATACATGTTTAGGACATAATCTTTCTTGGTAAGGCTACAGACAGAGAATAGTTTTAAATTAAAACTCTTCTTACTGGGCACAGTAGCTCATGCCTGTAATCCCAGCAACTTGGGAGGCTGAGGCAGGAAGATCACAAGGTCAGGAGTTCCATGCCAGCCTGGACAGCATAGTGAGACCCCATCTCTAAGGCAACATAATGACACCCTGTCTTTAAAAAGAATTAAAATATTAGCTGGGCATGGTGTCACATGTCTGTAGTCCTAACTACTTGGGAGGCAGAAGAGAGAGGATCACTTGAGCCCAGGAGTTCAAGGCTGCAGTGAGCTATGATTGTACTATGGCACTCCAGCCTGGGCAACAGAGCAAGACTCCATCAAAACAAACAAACAAACCTCTCCTCTGCCTTAACCAAGTAATGGAGGCTAATGTCACCAGGAGTAATGTATATCCATATTGTGTACCCTCTGAAATGATGTGATGAGAAGGGCACTTCACCTCTGTAGTATTTAATCCAAAAATCCATAACCCCAGTCTAGTTAAGAGAAGATATCAGGCAAACCCCAGTTGAAAGGCATTCTACAAAATAACCAGTTAGTATTCTACAAAAGAGTTAAGGTTATAAAAGACAAGAAAAGACTTAGGAACTGTCATAGATTATAGGAGACTAAGAAATCATGACCACTAAATGCACTATAGGATACAGGATTGGACTCCGGAACAGAAAAAAGATTCTAGTGAAAAGTTTGGAGTTTAGTTAATAGTATTAAACCAGTGTTAATCTCCTGGTTTTTACCATTATACTATGGTTATGTTAGATGTTAGATATGTTAGATAACAACGGAGGAAATAAAATAAAAGACAACAAGAAACTCTTATCTTTGCAACTCTCCTGGAAATCTAATATTATGTAAAATAAAAAATTTAAACATTTTTTCTGATTTCTAATGTCAATGGGCTATAATCATTTTGATGACTTTATTATTTAAATAGTATGCCTTCATTTTTATAATTCATTGTACTTATACAGAGGTTTCAATTTTTTCCAAAAAACTGCCCTATATATTTGCTACCTTGCTAGCTCTTTAATAACTTATATTTTTCATCTCTTTGTGATTTATAAAGCAGCTTCATATATATTCTCTCACCTAATCATTACAACGGCTTCAGATGGACCAAGCAAGAATCCTCACTGCCGCAGCAAAGATGAGAAAAATAGTGACAAAAGCAGTTAAAGAGATCCACTTTATGGTATATGAATTAGTGACAGAGTCAGTGCAATTCAACAATACTTTCTTTAAAAAAATGGATAAAGAATCTGAATAGATATTTCTTCAAGGAAGATAAACAAATGGACAAAAGTGCACAAAAGGTGCTTGACATCATTAATCATCGTGGAACTGTAAATCAAAATCGCAATGACATATTGCTTCACATCCACAAAGATGGCTAGAATAAAAAATCAGATAACAACAGCCATTGGTGAGGAGGTAAAGATATCAGAACCTTCATACACCGCTGGTGAGAATACAAAGTGGCAAAGTCACTTTGGAAAACAGCCTGGCTGTTCCTCAATGTTTAATCATCAAGTTTCCATATGACTCAGCAATTCTACTTCTCAATATACACTCAAGAAAAATGAAAATATATATCTATGGCAAAAACTTATACAAGAATGTCCACAGCAGCATTATTTATAGTATTTTTAGTAGCCCCAAATTGAAATCAATTCAAATGTCTATCAACAGAAGAATGAACAAACAAATGTGGAGTATTCATACAGTAGAATATTATTTGACCATGAAGAGGAATGAAGTATTGATACATGTTAAAACACGGATGAATCTTGAAAATGTTATGCTAAGTGAAAGAAGCCTGTCACAAAGAACCTTATGCTATATGATTTCACTCACACAATAGTCCACAATAGGGAAATCAATAAAGACAGGGAGTAGATTAATGGTTTCGTAGGATTGGAAGAGGGTTATGAGGACAGGGGATGATTGCTAAGGGATGTGGATTTCTTTTTGAGATGATTAAAGTGTTCTAAAATTGTGGTGATGGCTGCACATATCTGTGGATATACTTAAAAAATTGAATCGTACAATTTAAATGGATGAATTGTACGGTGTGTGAATAATATCTCAACAAAGTTGTTTTTTAAAAATTAAAATTAAAAAATTGTTTCCTACCATGGATCAAGCCAGAAATTTTTTAAAAATGAATAGAACATCTGTCTTCTCTCACGATGCTCAAATCTAGCAGAGGAAGTAAAGGGTAATAACAAATAATTATGTTAAAACTGTTATCTAGCCATCCTAATTTTTAAACTAAAAATTGTTTTACTATATAATATGAATCATCCGGCTGAGTAGTTCAGGCCATTATCCCCAGAGATCATTTAGTCCTAATTTATCATGTTCTATTGTGGAAAAGCGTCTCAAAAAAAAAAAAAAAAAAAAAAAAAAAAACGCGAAACAAAACTTGCTGCTTTTCAAAAAAAATAAAGGCCGGGCTCAGTGGCTCACACCTGTAATAATCCTAGCACTCTGGGAGGCTGAGGCAGGAGGATTGCTTGAGCTCAGGAGTTTGAGACCAGCCTGAGCAAGGGAGAGACCCCATCTCTACTATAAATAGAACGAAATTAGACAAACAACTAAAAATAGAAAAAATTAGCCGGGCATGGTGGTGAGTGCCTGTAGTCCCAGCTACCCGGGAGGCTGAGGCAGGAGGATCACTTGAGCCCAGGAATTTGAGGTTGCTGTGAGCTAGGCTGACGCCACCGCACTCTAGCCCGGGCAACAGAGTGAGATTCTGTCTCAAAAAAAATAAAATAAAATAAAATAAACTTGGTGCTTCAAAAAATAAAGGAAGAAACATGTGTTGGGAATTAGACGGTGGCCTAGCAGTCATTTGACTCTCTCCTCCATATTCTACAAAGAATTTTTGGAAAAGGGGCTTAGTGAAAGGGATTTTGTTGAACTGCTGGCTCAGAGTTCTCAGCAACAGGTTTACTCTGCTACAAGAACAGTTCCAGGATGGAGGCAAGAACTCCTCCATCCACACGGTCATTTTGAATTGCTTCGTATCTTATTTACACTTAACTGCCTCTCAGGATGGTGGAATAGCTATGTCCCTGTTTAAGTTCACTGTCTCCTTTTTTTAAGACTAAAACATATATCCCAATGCATTTGTGTACTTGTATTTTACATTTGTGTAAATTAGAGTAAAGAGGCGAGATAAACATCCTAAATAAGCAACTGCCTCTTAAAGTGCTGTATATTCCCATTGCCTATGGGATAGTATTCAACGTCTAGCATCCTTGGTACTGAACGTGAGGGTATTTACAACCCAGCCCAACTGCATTACAGCTTTATCTTCACCACTCCCTCCTCCCCTTCACATGTCTTGTGTATTACAGCTTTACTTAACTAATTGCTATTCCTCAAAACATGCCATGTTCTTCCAAGCTTCATGCTGTTCCCTCTGTTTTATTGGCGAAAGCCTATTTATTTTTTAGTTCCCTTGTCTATATAATTTCACATGCTAGTGTTCTTGGCCCAAGGCAAAATGTATTGCTGCCTTATTTATGTTCTCTAGCACTTTTATAACCACTATTACTTGTTTTTATACAATCATTTGCTTATCTTTCTGTTTTTCCAATTAGACTTTTAATTTCCTCAAAAAAGCTAATAGGCACATTTTATATTTTGTTTAGATTTATGTTTCCTATGGAGCCTTGTACAGTGTCTGGCATACAATAAGAGCTCAAGCAGTGTTTACTGAATTAAATTAGATAGTATTCTAGACACCTGTGCAATAGATCATTTTCATGATCGAGCTTCTCCCAATCTCATGGTATATTCTTCACATTGACATTTAGAACAACAATTAGATTACAGAGCATAATTTTCCCCAGAGGGTGTGGTGTTATAATCAGTCTTGTTCATTTTTTTTTTCTTGTGATGTCTTTGGGGTGTCTTGAACGTGCAGCCTAATTGAACACACAGAGCAGTCCTCTGTTCTTATCAACACCTCACAGCCTGTGAAGCTCTCAGTGTGTGTCTGTCCTTCATCACAGACATGAGGTTCAAATTCCCTCTCGTGGCCTTAGGCCTGGAGGTTGGCATGATTGTTTTATTTGGATTATTTGTTCAGTATGAAACGGAGCAAAATACTCTCCAGCAGCTCAACATCACCAAGCCAACAGACACGGGCAGATTCCTTGAGTTATATCCTCGTGAGTAGGCAATTTACTACTTTTATACATTTTTTGGTTCTTCAGGTACTCAGAATGTAAAATCTTTGAACACTGTAAACTCTTGAGCTCCTTGTAGAATTATATGATACTCATGAGTACTAAGGGTATTATAGTAATATGTTTCTGCTGTGGCATCTGGTCATCTTCTCTGCAATTAAGGTGTTTGGATAGAATCTGCATCTGTTAAAATATCAGAACAGAAAGCTGAAAATTAAAATAATCGGTCAGTTTTTTGTGTTGCCTATTTGTTGCTAAATGATCGTTCCCCTTGAATCGGTCACTAGTTCTGCAAGAATAAAAGTATCACAATTCCTTCACCCACCCCACCTGCAAAAAGAGCCAAAGGTAACCTTGTAAGAGAGAGAGAGTAGAGACTAAAAATGGAGTTATGAGAAGGGGAGCCTGGATTTGCATATCTTAGGGGTCCCTGAGGTATAAGAAGGGGTATCTAGGATGATGTAGTAATGGAGTTTGAATCAAAAAAGATGTACTCGAGGTTTTACAATATTATGAATGGGAGTTACTTTGTTCCTTTGAGATGAAAAGTGTGGGCACCTAAAATTTTTTAAAGGCAGAATCCTTCCCTGGGAATGATGACTGAGGGAAAGTAGAAATTTAGTTTCAAGTTTGGAAGGGCAGGCTATAAAACAGTTAATAAATATGAGAATAATAACTACCATTTACTGTGTGCTTATTGTGAGCCAGATGTATCCACTACCTCATTAGCCAGGAAGGGAGATGGAGGTATATCACTGTTAAATAGATTGTTTATTTTTTTTAATGAGGCACAAATAATTTTAAAAATGTAAAAATTATTTAAAATAGTAGCAATGTTTATTGCAGCTTAGGGCATATTCTAAGCTTTTTAGAAACAATTTGACACTTGTTTTTTTATTCCTACATTTTTTGAAGGAGTTACGATAATGAAGGTGTTTCCACGTAGAAATGATGGCCCAGAGCTACTAAATGACTTAGCAAAAACACAAAATTGAAAGTTAAGGGCAGAGTTAGAATCATAAGTTGGAGACTCAGATTCCAAGTCTAGTTATCTTTATGTTGTTTTGATGTCCAAGAGAGTTTTTGATTAAATAAATTTTATAATTTTCAAGTTAAAGAACAATAAAACTAAACAGAATTCTGTGCAAGTCTGTATGCTTTTGTACCTTTCACTTATTCATCCGTTTATTCATTTAATAAATATTTTTATTGAGTACTTAGTATGCGTTACAGAAATTTGTTCAAAGGTAAACCAAATATAATGACTTTATTCTAAGACTCCACTGTCTGGTACACTTGGAAACAAAGATGTGAAATAATAGTAAAAGAAACAAAATGCTATAAATATGATCTAAGATTAATGTTGCTCAAATAAAATTATCTGAAGACTTTAGGAGCTTAATAATTTGCATTATTTTAAGCTGAACTTTCTCAGTTCCAGTGTCGAAGCTCCTAGGTAAAACTTCAATTCAGAATTTGAGATTAAAAACTGAGTTGGAGGGATGTTACTGAACATGTTCATTTTTCAATAGCCTTGCAATAAATGAATAATTTCTAGAGATCTAGAGCTGATGATAGTTAACAACAGTGTGTTGTATAGTTGTGATTTGCTAAGAGGATAGACTTGAATCTCACTAGACACAAACACACACACACAGTAGTAACTATGTAGAGGTAATGGATGTGTTAGCATAATTGTGTGATCATTTCACAATGTATGTGTATATCAAAATGTCAAATTGTACACCTAAAATACACATAATTTTATATGTCAGTGATATCTCAATAAAGCTGTTTAAAAATATAGCCTAGTAATCACATCACTCCGAGATGCCACTTAGAGGAAACATAGAAATTCATTCATCTTATGATTCACTAAGAAAATATTTATTAAGCTCCCAATTCTTGTCAAGCAATCTTCAATGTGTAGGCCCTACGCAGTGAAGAAAAACAGACAAAATGGGCAAAGCTCATGTCTTTGTGAAGTTTACCTTCCAGTGGGGGAAGATATACATAAACAAAGAGATGTGTATGTGAGTGTGTATGTATGTGTATGTGGATACACACGAACACACACATTTAGATGATAATAAAATGCCACGGCCATAAATGAAGCAGGATTAGGGAAATAAATGCATCTGAACAAGGGGGAATGTCCCTTCACCCCTTATCAACCAGGGTTATGTGAGAGAATTAACTCCCAATAACCCAAGGCATCCATTGCACGCAATTAATTACCTTTTCCCCCGTGCATCTAGAACACCACAAAGTGAAATTTTACATGGAAGGCAGCTTTCATTCATTCAAAATACTGTCTGTAACCCAGTCTATACACAATTAAAAGCTCTCTTATGTAAGGGTGGCTCTCAAGACCTAAAATTCTGGCTAGTTTTAATCTTCTAGTTCAGCCATATTATTCCTGGTTGAAATAGTTTGTAGAATAGCCTGAGAAACTACGTGATTGTGTTTATATATA